TAGAAAAACCAATGAAATCCACGTAAAGTGTGGAATTCAGTTAGTAGTTTCCCCTTCTGGAGAGTAGGAATCATAATACTGCATACATCACAGGAGTTTTATGAGGATAAACTATGATAAATTCATGTAATACTCTGTGCACTCTGTATACCATGTCTGGTTCAGTCAGAGTAAGAGCTCAATAATCACTGCATGCCACATTATCATCATTTCAAGAGAAATGAAATGTACTCAATCTCTTGCTGGCATGGGCCATGACACCATCCTTTGGGGGTTCCCAGGAAAAAAAATAACAGTACCAGTAACAACAACAACAAAAAAAGCGGCAAGGTGCTGAATGACTCCAGGCAAACAGCTCCCTCTGTGTGTGTGTGTGTGTGTGTGTGTAGATATATATACACACACGCACAGGAATTTAACATGAACACAAATCACTTGGAAATCTTGTTAAAATCAAGATTTTAATTCAGAGGGATTGAGGTGGGGCCCAAGGCTGTACATTTCCAACAAGCTCCAAGAACCACAACTGCAGCTTTAACTTTTCTACTTATACATTTTTTAAAATTTTCTGTAAGAAAGATAAAGTTTTTTCTATTTATTCTTTATCTCTTCCCTGCAAAGAAATACTCTTTATTTTTAAATATAGAACCATACCCGATGTAACCAGTCACCAAGATCTTAAATAAGTAACTACTTAAGCAGTATAAAAAAGGGGCAATTACCCATTAACATTTGCATCCACATTATCTCATGCCTATGTAGATAAAAGTAATGTATTTGAAAGTCAAATCATATACAATTCTCTTATCCTTACCAGTTGAAAGTCTAAATACTCTACAGTAATCTAGATTAATCACAATCCTAGGAAATACTATGAAAATTTTAATTCAGTAAATTGCATTTGGAGAGAGAGTAACCTATTACTAAAGCTCCTGCTTAACAGTTTATTCAATTTTCAAAATGTTAAGAAATGGTACTTAATCTCAGATCATCTAGGATCGTGTATAGGATATTTGAGAAAAGAAAAAACTAATAGGAATAAATGAAAAAAGTACATATAGAGCTGAAAAACAGGGATTAACAGAAAATGGCGTAAAAGAGCCATACTTCCCGCAAATAATGACATCATGGAAAAATTTAAACCAGTTTCCTTAACTCAATGATTTCTAGCTATTCTGACTTTATGATTTCATGTTTTCCTGCCTTTCTTAAAATGTTTCTTAGCACAAACGTTTGAAATTTAAGAATGAATTGACTTTAAAACTCTGAGATAAATGCAAAGTAAGCTTAGAAAATACCATTTTAACTGGTATTGCCTTTAAAAATTATTCAAATTTACTTAGTGAAAAAAAATGATTTGGATGACAACAAATCTTTCTGGTATGTGTTGTGTACATAAACACAAAATTGCCAAAATTGGTGTACCATAGTAGTTTTCAACAAGACATTAACAAATAAATACATGGTAAAGAAACATGGCCTGTGTTCAAATTAACTTTGACTTGGTATTCCTTAAATTTAACAGGTCCTTTAGACTAGACTTCTCAAAGCCTTTTAAAGATGCTGAATTTCTATAAAAGGATATTTTCATTTAGAACATTTCCACTGATCATATTTCCTACTCATTACTTACACGAAACACTTCAAAGTTCAGATCCAAAGATTTTTGAAGTATATAACATTAACAAAAATATTCTCTATAAACCAAGGAAATTTGTGTGACACAGAGTTCTTCTAAATAAATATAAAATTTACACACATATATATTTAAAACATATATTAAATATATTAAATCAAGCATTGTTAACGCTATGAAAAGCAATAATGAAACAAAAGAATTCTAAGAATCAGGTTAATAAAGCTCAACTGCCAGCCACATACTAACTATAAATGGTTAAGACCATTGTAGCACATCACAAACAGTTTCCCTCACTCTGTAAAAATTTTTCAAGAGCATCATATGTAGATATTAATTAAAGTGACTCAAATAAATTATCAAATTTACATGTACAATTTTAGATTAAAAATTTAATCTGCAGGCAAGGAGAGAAATTGTTCTGAACAGTAAGCATGTACTAATCACCCAAAAATTAGCAAATGTGACTATGTATTTCTGGTCTTCATCCACAAATCTATTCCTGGATTAAATCATCATTCAAGAGAACTTTAAAATAAAAAGTCTAACCAGGATTTGGAAAACTTGATGTTTTTGTTTTTTCTCAAATCCACAGCCAGGAATCAGTATTTTAAAATCTTCCAAAAGCATCTTTAGAAAGCTTAACTTCAGTTATATAATAAACTTTGTGCTGAGTTTAAACTGATGTGCAGGTGCATCCTGACCCACATTTCTTAGTAAATAAGTTTCAAAATTGTCAGTTATAGCATAGCTAAAGAGACATCTTCCTGTGTATTCTTCCTCCTTTCACTCAATGGTCATAGACAACTTTCCACATGGAAAGAATCAAAGAACATTTTTTAGTATAAAATTATACTAATTATACCAACCAAAAATATCAAATGACTTCTTACTTGATTTTATTTCATTTCATAATGGAATTTCCACAAAAGAAGAAAATCTAAAAGAAAAATCCATTTAAAAATTCTACCCAATAAAAATCAAGTTTTACTTTAAAAACTATTTATAATATATTATCAATTTTAAAAGCAGAGCATATCTCTCTTCACTCTATATTAATATTCATAGTTACTAGAAGTGGGTTTTTTTGGCAAGAAAATCCCCCTACCTATAAGTTCATGTCCTTAAGCACAATCTCCTTTCTCTGTACTGCCTTGGTATGAAAGCTTTTTGGGGGGGCGGGGTGCTGGGGAGAATGGTGGCTGAGGGTTGGTAACAATAACAGTAGAGCAAAGGAAAAGGACAGCATAACAGCAGTAAGGAAGAAAATGAAAGCAGATGAGAAGCAGGTCTCCCTCCTTCTGATAAACACCAAGGCAGTTGCAAGAACAAGATAACTTGACAACCACACTTCTCAGAAGCATGTAAAACCTGTATAGTAGAAATAATAACTCACAATAATTAGGGAATATGATTTGCAATTATTTCATAAATATGCACTGTAAAAGATTTCTTTAAGTAAATCTGATTTCACAGGGTTTAACTTTTTTCACTTATACTACCAAATCTATCTTATTACTCCCCTTTAGATACGGCAGCAAAATACATAAAACATCATTGGAACAAGTAAGGGCTCAGAATGTAACAGCACATAACCTCTCTGAACACTCAACTAGAGGATTTACTCTCAAGAGTCTTATTTCCTATTTTGTGAGTAGTTTAGTTCCTGTTTCCTCTAGATATTTCTACCTATTAACCATTTCATTGTTCACTAACAAAAGAATGTGAACAATGTGACTCTTCTAATCACTTACTATAGTCAATGTACCTGTAGAGATTTGAATCAAATATGAGATTCAAAACTCTTCCAATTTAGCCTCTCAACTCTGTTGATTCTTGAACTCTATTGTCTGAAACCTTATTATACTTTGTAAATTAAGTGGTGGGATGAAACTTCAAAACCATTCAGTTCAATTCTTTTTTTAAAGTTGAGACGATCATTCAAAGAACTAGTTAAAGCAGAGTGTCAACTCAGGTTTTGTAATGTTTAGACCAATACCTGTTCAACTAAATAATGCTGCTTTCCATAATTGCTCCTTTCTCTGTGTTCTTGTTATCCAAACAGTCTGCCTGTGAAAGCTGATAAAGTACACCTAGCATGACCAGAAAATACCAAGTTTCAAGTCAAATACTTATAACACTGCTTCCTTCTCTATCCAACATTTTTTCTGAAACGCTCCCAACTGCCAAAACTTTCCTGTTTCTTGTCCATCACATTTCTCTACCACTGTAATTAATGTTCCAGTTATGTAGTATCCTATGGTACATAAAACATGATGCTAATTATAATAAGCAAACAGTGAGTGCTTATTATATCAGGAACTATTTTAAGCCCTTTCCACATAACACCTCCCTATTCCCAACTTTAAATAAGATAAATAACACTGTAATTCATGTTCTGTAAGTGAAAAAGACAAAACCTCAGAGGTAAAGTAATTTGCCCTAATTTACACAACTAATAAAAAGTAGAATTGGAAAAAATAATCAGTCAGTCTGACTCTGATGCTCACATTCCTGATCTCTACTGATAAGTGTATATATAACGACATGGATTCCATCAATGTGCAGGTAACTCAAAATTTGGGGGTTAGAGAAGAATTTAAAGAGTCTTTGTATTTAAAGAGGTTTCTTACACAATAAAACAGCTTAATATGGTTTATTCCCATTAACTCTATCTTCTTTGCAAAGACATGGCCCAAGTAACTCATTCATATATAATTAAAACTGAAATTTAAAAAGAAAACTGGGGGGAAAAAAGGGTTGCAGCAATATTTTAACAAATGTCCAGATCAGCGTTGTCCAAAAGAACTTTTGCAATGATAGAAATGTTTTCTATCTGTGCTACACATCATGGTAGCCATTAATCACACATGGCTTTCAGCGCTCGAAATGCGTCAAGTGTGACTAATTGCATTTTGAATATTTTGTAACTTTAAATAGTTTAAATAACCACATGTGGTTAGTGGCTACTACACTGGACAGGAAAGGGATAGAAGACAAAATGCCAGAAAAAGGTGAGTAAAGAACTCCTTATTGCCTTTATTTGGAGAGTGAACTAACAGTCAAAGCAATTTAAAGGTCTCTTTTTACTTGCTTTAGTTTCAATAATTGACCCAAACAATATAAACCTCCAAAGAGATTTAAGTCACCTAAACTTTCCATATTTAAATTCATCTTTATCTCAATGGAAAAAATAAAACCTGTATTACCAACAAAACTTCATGTATCAGAAACTTTTTATTACTGTTTGGATAACTAAGAGGAAGAATCTGATCTGAAAACTCTGCCACCTACTAAGAAAACTAAAGAGTCATTCAAGTTTTACATTCTCTTCATAATAAATACTTGATAATAAAGTGCTTACCTTGATTCTCCACTACTGTTTCTAACACTTTCTTCATCACTGTGTCCATTCATTGTAAATATCAAGAGGTTTTAAAATAAAATATAAATCTTCCCAGTTTAAAAGATGAATACAAATATGAACTCCTTAAACATCAAAAATTCACAGACGAATTTTCTCCAACATTCACAGGCTTCCTGGGCCCTTTTTGATTCACCTAAAGAAAATATATTGAGAAAGTAAGAAAATTTCCTATCCAGGAAAAGATGAGTTAAATCTATTTAGAACTCATACAAATCTACCTAGGCCAATTAAATTAGAGATGGTAAGGAAGGGTTAGCGGTCTTTCACTCAAAATACTTAGGCTTCTATTAACTACATTCCTGACTACTCACTAGAATTTAGCACTACTGCTTATTTTTGACAGAAGAAATTAAAATATTTGTGGAGTGATAAAACTTTTAAACTGACTGCAACTGTGTAGCAATACACATATATACATATTATACAGAAACAGATAACTAAAGCAAAGTGGTAGTATGTAACATATATATAACTCAAGAACAGAAAAAGTCTTATTAGAAACTTGGTCAAACAAATGATGGGGAAAAAAACATTACCTTTAATCAAGCACTAATTCCTATTACCCAGAACTTCATGTAACTGAGTGAGGGAAAGTTTGAAAATGCTCACATGAGAACAGAATAAAAGTGTATCATACAATTTCAGCGAAAAATGTATAGGTCAAAACAAATGCATTCTTTCGCAGGTAAACCGAGAGTGGAGTGATAAAATTTAAATAGTATTTATCCAGTTCGGACCTGCAGAGGTTCCATTAAAAAAAAAAAAAAAGGTAATAGAATATACAGTAGGATTAATTAAGACATGGGCTTGGGGTAGAAATCATGAGCCAAGACACAGCATTTCCACCCTTCAAGATTTCAGCCCAACACTGGAGAGTCACCTACAAGCCATCCACGAATAAACAAAGGAGATCTCTGGCAGGGGAGGGAGAGGAAGAAGCGGGGGAAGGAGACGTCAGATCCTTCCCCAGCCAGAAAGTACCGAGACAGGCGACTGAGAGCAGAGCTGTCCGCCGACCTCAGCAAAGAGAATTTACTCCTACGATTATTTCCACTCCACAAAAAAGAGGGGGGAAATACGCTGTTGCCAACCCAATCATAGTAAACTCTGCATCTTGATCGGTTATTTTAATTCTCGAGACTATAGTCCAGTAGACTCTTTCCAAGAAATGGTCATCCAAAAAGTAACTATTCCACGCAACATTTAGTCTCAACGTTAAATATTAATTCCAACTAATCAAAGAGCTTTACTATTAAACAATGATGTCTTAAAAATCCAGGTACTCTAACAAACTGCCTCTCTTACCCAAAGTCTCTCTTTACCGAGAAAGTTCACAACTCTTCGTTCTTTCCTTTTCACTCCTTTTCGCCCCTCAAAATGGCTTTCTCCGTACATTGTAACTTCCTTTTCCCCCCTCATCTTCCTTCTCCGAGTAAGTCCTCTTTCTGAAACCCTTCTCACAACCGTAAATTCTGAAGCTCCAGGCGCACGCAGCTCTCTCCTGCCTTTCACGCGTCTTAACAATGACTCTTCCCTAAGTCGCTGTACCTCTTTGAATCTTCCTTTTCTGCGCCCGTCTTTTAACAGTTGCTTCGCTCCTACTAAGTTTTCAAAGCGGTACTCGAAAGGAGGTTGGAAACCTTCCTCCTCCCTCATCCATACTTTGCAGCTTGGCTCCAATCAGCCTCCCAACCAGACGCTCACCATCCCCCCCTCCAACCCCGTCCCTCTCCGGGCCTTCATCCCGGTCCCCGGGTCTCTCTTCCCGCCTCAAACTTCCCGCAGACCCGCCCCGCGCCCTCCCGGGCTCGCCCGGGCCGCCGCTCCCCACGTGCTGGGAGTCCGGGTCGCGGCGGCACCAAAGCACCCGGCAAGTGCTCGCCGCTCTCCCCTCACCGCTCTCCCCTCGCGGCCCCGCCAGCCCCAAGCCGAGAAGGCCCGGGCTCGACTGCCCAGCTGCCCGCCCGTCCGGCGCGAGGATGCGCTCCTCGGCGCCGGCCTGCGCTCGCCACTCACACGCCCCCTGTGCACCGAGCCCGTCAGCCCCTGCCGGCCTTCACAGAGACGTCCCGGCCTTCGCCCGGCGCTCGGCCGCTGGGCCGCCGCCCGGGCATCGCGCCGCCCCCGCCCTCCGCCTGGCCGGCTCCCGTCCTCCCCGCCACATCCTGACCCGCCCGCCGCCCCCTTTCTTACCGGCGGGCGTGCAGGCTTCGCGGGGCGGAGGGAGCCGACTCGGGTCGGCGGCCTCCCCCGCGCCCGGGCCCGCGGTCTCTGCCGCCGAGTGAGTCCTCGGGCTCCGGGCGCCTCGGGGTAAGCAGGAGTCCGTGAGAAGGAGGGGGAAGGGGAAGGACGCGGAGGGGAAAGGGAAGCCCCGGGCCGCGGCACCAATGCGCGATCCCCTGCGGAGCGGATCCAACAATCAATTCATTATTGAAGCACCAACGGCGAAGGCAGCAAAAGCGAGAAGTAACGAGCCGTCGTCGTCGCCGCGGCCACGCGCGCGCTCCCGCTCCCGCCGCTTATCGGCTCCCGGCAGCCGCCATGACGCCGAGAGAGCGAGCGCAACCGTCTCCGTCGTAGCCGCCTCCGCCGCCGCCACCACCGAGGTCGCCGTCGCCTCCGCCTCCCGCGCGACGTAAGCTCCTCTGCTCACTCCCCTTCCCCACTGGGCGCGAGGCGGGCCGGCGGGCGAACGAGCGCGCGCACGCCGAACACCTCCGGCTGGCGCGCGGGCGGTGGGAGGGGCTACGCTGTGGAGTCGTGGGCTGTAGAAGGAAAGCTATTGGTGCTGAGGAGGGCGAAGAGTGAATGCGCGCACGCGCATGAATGGGAGCGCGCACGCTGGCCGCGCGGAGGCCGCCGGACTCTGGCCACGGCCGTGGGCCGCTGGTCCTTGCTCGGGCGCCCTCTCTTAGTGGCCGGGAATTGAATTCCGGGAAGTGGGAGCTGCAGGCTCGCTCCGTGCGGGTATGGACGCTACTGTCACTCGGAGTGATTACGCAAGGACGTCGCGGCGGAGAGACTGAGAAGCTACGGGGGAAGCAGGGGGGGTGGGGAAACGCTAAAAACTACGTTGGGGCTCGGAGTGCCGCGGGAGGGCCAAGTTGGATAAGCCGAGGGAGCAGGTCTTGCGTGGAGTCTTGTTGCCCAGGCCTGGAACCATAGCTCCCTCGGCACAGTCTGAGCGCCTGTCCGGAGGGGTGGGGAGGGGGCTGTGCGTCACAACAGGCAGCCTGGGAACCCAACTGTTGGGCAACTGTGGTCACCTCCCGCCGCCTTCTACGCTTAGGCGACCTGTGACACGGGCTCTCTCGGGGGTCTCATGCCCCGAAAGGGCGGGGCTCCTGAGGAGACGGAGAAAAATAGAGACCGAGTTGTCCTCCTGTGATTGATTCATTTGTGGGGAGCCCTTGCCTGGTTCAGTAAAAAGCTTTTACTACCTTTCTAAGTCCCTTCCTGGAGGGCGGGGTGGAGGGTGCGGTGCCGACTCGCAACAGAAAAGCAACTCCGGGACGTTAGTAACTGTGTCGGTTTAACCTGCTGCAATTTAGTTGACGGTTTCTTTCATAACTGTAACTGCGGGCCTAAGTTACAACCCTTTACAAGTGTGGAAGGAAACACCTTTCAAGCACGGTGGTGTCCTGCTTCACTCTTTTTGAAAGCATTTTTTAAATCAAAATTCTTTTATACTTTTTTTTTCCCCAATCCATTGGTCAGTCTTGAGGTTAATGATAAAACTCTAATCCTATTCGCCAGTGATTGGATTTGGTGCAAAGGCCCACCTTCCAAGCCCAATGAGTTTGAATATGGTAGCTGCATTCCCAAAATAATTCTTTTCGTCTGTGGGGAATACTCGTGTTTTAGTCCACTAGCTGTTGAAACAGTTTGGTTTAAAGCCTTCAAAAAGATCTCAAAACATAATTACAAATATGTGTTCATTGTATGGAAGGGTATATTCACCTTTGGGAAGTAGGGAAAGGCAAACAAGTACACATGGTCTGCTCGAAAAAAAAATGTTTATCATGAAGTAGTAAAACGTAACACTACCATAATTTGTAAAATGATCTGTGCTCAGCCATTTTTTAAAAATTTTCTTTTTTCCTAGTTATTAAATAGCTGTAATGCTGGGTTGTGAAGAATAAGGTCGTAATAAATACCCATTTCTGAAGTCCCTAAAAGTAGGAACTAATTGCTAGTTTTTAATGTTATGCTTTGAAAATATGATAAAGGTGCCTTAAGGATAGGGGCTTCCTGTGCCTCAGACTAATTTCTCTATTGGATTACTAGAGTGGTAAGTAAAAGGAAAAAGCTCCAGAAAAACAGTAACCATTGCAGATAAAGAATTTTGTAATCAAGAATGATTTGGATAATAAAGACTTGAATTATATCTGTACTACATTTCATCGTTATCTTACAAAAAATTGTATGAATTATATATATGTTTTCTGAAAGCACATCACAAACCTTTTTAAACTATGCCATTTGGATGTGACATACTACACATAAACTCTATAGACACTTTTTTTGCAAAATAAGTCTTAATAAATTTGTAACAAAATACTGAACCTTTGAGATTTATATTTCTGGTAATATCATAATATACTTTATGACTCCACAGAATTTTAGAATTACTGTTGAGAATGTGGAGAAATACAAGCTATTTGTGGAAAATGGGAACAGTCTTGCCAGTTAAGTTTTTTAAAAGTTATTTGATTAATAAGGCAAGAGTATTTTTTTGACCATTTGTTATCTGCACAGTTAAATTTTTAGTTTCACTTTGTTTGGACAAGCTGTTGTTATCTCTCTCTATTGGTACTAAAAACAATAGACAGTTGATAATCTCAGCACATGACTAGCAAAAATCCTTGAAAATTAATGTCAACCAGGAAGTCTTTATTATTTCCCATTTGAGAAATTTCATATTCTTTGGGAAGCATATTGTGTTTACAAAATCTAGGACAGCACATTGTGGGACCTTGATTCTGATACGCTCTGCTAGGACTAGTTACTGATGGGTATCCATAGGTGGAGATAGATTGAGAACCACTTACCCAGAATTGTGAGATGTTCAACATAAAGACAATGATAACTCTTGCTTTTCTCATGAATGTTTTGGATGCCAAGATAGGATTTTAATTCCATAATTATTTCTTGTTGCCTAGAGGATTTGTGTATGAGAAGCTGCTAAAACAATCAGAACAGTATTAAAATAGCCTAGAATCTAAACCTATGTCATTATCCCCCAGATCCTTCCCAAACAGAGGAATAGCTTTCCAAATATACTTAAAATTTACAAAGTCCTTTATAAATAGAACCCATGAAATTCTAAGTCACCTTATAGTGAATATTTACATTTTCTATTTTTTTAATCATTAAAATTATATGACAGGAGCTGTGGTTCCCAGTGTTGAACAGGGGGCAGGAGTCAGTAACTGAGGAAATTTTTTCCTAACTATGCATGCTGGACACTCCCTTTCCTTTCCTCTTCTGATAAGCAGAATTTTTAGGTTCTAGATAGTGTTTAGAAATTTTTTTCTGGATTTTTCAGATATCCACCAACAGTTCGTTCACCTTGCTTATGGCCATTGTATATGGGGGTTTTACTGATAAATGCTTGAATCACAAGTTAAATTTCAAATGGAAAGTTCTTAGAGGTTATACCAAGAGGCAACTATATATAAAATCTAACCATTGACCTGTATGTAAAGATTCTACCTCCTTTAATTTCAAAGTTAAGTGCACCCACAAGTAAGAAAAGTAAGTTTAGCTAACTAATATCAAATTGGTGCATTAATGCTGTATTATTCCTCTCCTGCAGATCCTTTAGTTGCTGTTCATTTTACCTGGTGTATGCCCTCTTCACCCTTTCTTAATCTCTACTACTTTATATAAGCCCCAATTTCTCTACTCTTTCCCTCTAGCTCACCCTGTGCCTTCCTTCAGACTTGAAATCTAATGAAATCACTCCCCTGCCTTAAATATGTATTTTTAAATATACTACAAATTTGCATAAATAATATTTTAATTAGTCTTTTCACAATCTGACCCCAGCGTTGCCTCCCATCATTCCTAGGAGACACATAACACTCTAGCCACACATTTCTTCAGGTCATTGGAAAGTTACCTTTAATTGTAAATGGATATAGTCCATCTATCTTATGAAGTAGTCTCTTACAGGTTTAAGTAAATCATCAAGGATTGTTGAATGTCCTGATGCAATTGTACAGACCCCTTATGAGACATGTCAGGCAGCTCTCCACCTCCCTTTTAGGACATCAAATTGTGTATTCTGTAAGTGCAGCATGTCTGTATTGTAATAAAGCATTTGTTTCCATACTACACTGTGAGCCCCTTGAGTGGGACTCTCTGTGTCCCCAGTGCACTATTGTTGACATTTATTCAAAAAATTGCATACCAGACTTTTTGCTAGGGTGGGGGTGATTGTGGGGGGATTATAATAGAGCAAAAACAGATACTTTCAAGATTTAAAGTCTAATAGAGGAAACCATCATACTGCAAAATCATAACTGAGAAAAATGGTATGAAGAATCAATCACAGGAGAATTCATAATGGAGAGCCCTAGTCAGAAGAGTCTCCAGGGTTGCCTGGGTGGCTCAGTCAGTTGAGTGTCTGACTCTTGGTTTCAGTTCAGGTCATGATTTCACGGGTCCTAGGATCAAGTCCTCTGTCAGGCTGCATGCTCAGCACGGAGTCTACTTGAGATTCTCTCCCTCCCCCCCTCCCACTCATGTGCTCTCTCACAAGCTCTCTGTCTCTCTAAAATAAATCTTAAAAAAAAAGGCTCCAAAGGAAGTGACATTATTGGAGAACTGAAGCATTAATATGGAGTAGAAAAGCAAAAGAGAGGTAAAAGAGCTTTTCAGGTAAAAGAAATAAGATGGGCAAAAATTCTGGGCCAGAGAGATGGGGTCAACTTACAATCCAGTTTGCCAAGGATAGGCATTTTTTACTTTCAGAGGTACTCTGGTTTGGATTACAAGGAGCATAGTACTGCTGGAGCAGACAGAATTGAGGAAGATGAGGCTGCATAGGAGCCAGGCTCTTCAGGTCCCAAAGCCAGGTAAAGAAGTGGGTTTGGGGCACCTCAGTGGCTCAGTCAGTTAAGCATCCAACTTTTGATACCAGCTCAGGTCATGGTTTCAGGGTTGTGAGATCAGGTTCCATGCTAGGCATGGAGCCGCTTGGGATTCTCTCTCTCCCTCTGCCCCTCCCCACTCTCCTCTCTAAAAAAATAATAAGTAATAAAAATTGAGTGGGTTCTTTTCTTGGAACAAAGGGAAACCTTTGAAGGATTTTAAACTGTGGTAATGAAGGATTTGCAAATTGGAAAATTTAGCCAAAATTAGTGGCATGTCAAAGAAAACAATATTCTTAAGTGAATTAGGCTAAAAGATAAATAACTTGATGGACCAGGGTAGTGTTATGGAAGAGAGAGTAGTTTTGGAAGGAAATGTCCACAGGGTTTGTTGATGCACTTGGATTCAGGATTAGGAGGAGGAGGGAAGCTGTACATACAATGGAATGGAATAGAACTGAATGGTAATAGCATTCATTTCAATGGT